CCCCCGAGATGCTGGGGGAGAAGCGAGTCACTAAGCCTCTTTCTGCATTTCCTAACTGCTGGCCTGGTATTTCGATCAGCAGGAGAGAGACTGCTGTCTCTCTGCGGGGTCGTCTCTCTGCGGGGTCGTCTCTCTGCGGGGTCGCCTTTCTGTGGGGCCGCCAGCCGCTGTGCCTTTCTGTGCATCACTGTAAATTAATATTTGACTTTCTGAGCATTAAACAAGCAGAGACCTGGACTCAGATACTCCTCAGGGTAAAAAAAAACGAGGAAGTTTTTGTTCTCCGTTAATAATTAAGCTACCCAAAGTTGTGGTGTTCCCACACTTCGTTATCTGTCTTTTATTTCAGAAACACGTTCAGAAAACACTGCTTGTGGACCCTACGCCCTCTATAATCAGTTTTTCTTTTAAAAACAAAACCTCTTCAGGTGGAGATAAAGTCATCGATGTCATTGACGTGGCCAGACAGGCAGACAGCAAAATAAAGCTCGGCGAGTTTGTGAAATATTTCTGCAGTCCCCATCGGCCAAAGGTGCTGAATGTCATTAGCCTGGAGTTCTCCGACACCAGGTAAGTGTGCAAATGTCCCCTCACTCCCACGTAAAAACATTCTGAGCGCTCACAGCATTGTCAGCATTGTCTGCTACACCATTACTGTGCCTTTATTCCTCTGGTATCGTTTAGTTTTGTCTTAGGAAAGACATCTGGCTCCTTTGCCCACTGCTGTAGCTGGCAGTTCTGAGCAGCTGTTCTTTTAATTTCACACTATAGAGAAGCCCAGACTGCTACTCTGGCGTGCAGTAACCACAGGGCTGCTTTACTCTCACTGAGTGTGCCGTCCCATGATGCTTTGCGAAGCTGAGCTGCACAGCTTTATGTGGCGAGTCCGGGCGGCAGTTGTGACGTAGCCTTCCTGCAACGCCCTCTCAGGATGGCAGAGCTGGTGGAGGTGCCGGACGTTGCCCAGAAGATGTCCTGGGTGGAGAACTACTGGCCCGACGACTCCTTCTTCCCCAAGCCCTTTGTGCAGAAGTACTGCCTGATGGGCGTGAAGGACAGCTACACGGACTTCCACATAGACTTCGGGGGCACGTCCGTGTGGTACCACGTACTCTGGGTGAGCAGAATTTCTCCAGCATCATTGCCTGAGGGCCTGTCAGACGGTCGGTTATTACCACGGCTACAGCATTTAGCGTCCAGAAAAGCATCACATATTGGAGGTTCATCCCAGTACTTCCGTCTCTTTACTCTGAATAATCTGGTCACCTGTTTTCTTGAAAATGGTCCTGCTCTCACTGTGCCTGGTTGTTCACTTATGCCTAGTCGACTGCTCAACAGCTGCACGGTTTTAATCTGCTATTTGCCCAAACCTTAGGCCACTTTGGACAGAAGCGTCTGCTAAATGAATAAATGTAAATGAAGATGCATGCAATAAGTATTTGCCCCCACCCCAACTCTGCAGGGCGAAAAAATCTTTTACTTGATTGAACCGACACAAGCGAACCTTGCACTGTATGAGGAGTGGAGCTCCTCCCCCAACCAGAGCGAAGTCTTCTTCGGGGAGAAGGTGGACAAGTGCTATAAGTGTGTGGTGCAGCGGGGAACCACCCTCCTCATCCCCACAGGTGAGCACTCCTCTGACTCCGCCCCCTGACACATTCGTCCTTCCCATTGGCTGCTTGTGCTGTCAGTTAAGACCCGCCGCCATGCTGTCTGTTGAGCTCTTCTGTGACTTGATGCTTTTCGTTCCTGTTTGTGGCACAGAGTGGGAAGTTTGGGATTTCGGCTTTCGTGTTATTGCTCTGATTGGGTTTCAGAGCCTGTGCTCTCAGATTGGGCTGAAGGGGGCAGCACAGTGGCTGTTAGCCGCCTGTATACTACGGACGTCCGCTATTAGCTACAAAAAAATCCCTATAATTCACTAATAAGTTAGAATGGCTAGTGTGGATGAGGTGATGTAGTGGAGCCTTGCAGAACCTCGTTTCTGTAAAATAGATTAATGAATGTCTTTTGATTTCTTCACCCTTGTAATCCGATGGCCTGTGCTGCCTCTGACTGTAGAGGTTCTATGGTTGGACCCGAAACCTGGGACCAGGAACCCTGGCTTAGACCGTGAAGTCACCGCGAGGATGGTTACTGCACTTAAAACCAGACGTTCTTATGCTCAGATGCTCTTATGTTTCAGTCTTGAGTGATATTCAGCTGCTCGGAAGGTATTTCTGAAGAAGCATGTGAGACACCCCAGGAATGAACGTCTTTCCCTCTCTGGGAGGCTGACGGGGTTAATGAGGGCTCTGATTGGTTGAAGATTAATGCCCCGCCCAGCACCACGCCTCATTATATAAATCAGTCCAGCTGTTGAGAGACTGAGCCAACTGTGTAAGAAAAGCAGTTGTCCTTCGTTTAAAACAGTGGTTCTCAATCTTTTTCAGCAGGAGGCCCCCTTGTGTAGGGTGAATCCTTTTGTGGCCCCCCTCCTCAAAAAAAAAATCATGACGCAAAACTGCCACGCCCAGCTCTGTACGATCCTCATGTGTGCCACACCCCCTCATTACCTCGTGTCAAGTCCTGATTGTGATCACCTGTGTCCTGTTATTTCTGGCTAGTCTTGTGTATTTAGTCCGCGTCTGAGTACGTCTCGTCAGATCATTGTATTGTACGTTAATGTCTATGCCTGTCTCACCTTTCGTTACAATTAAAACTCGTTTACCCGTATCTCCGGCTGATCTCGCCTGCTTCCCGGCTCGCCTGCCTGCCGACGCGACAAAAACATCCTCAAACTTACAATTTTACTTAATTTTAGATTTTAGATTCTGTTTGTAGTCTTTATTTCTCTGGTTTGTTAAATTTACATTTCACAAAATATAACATTGTATTTAAACAGTTTTGACAGTAAAACTAACATTGTCTGAAAAGTGCAACAAAAGTACTGAATACTGAACATTAATTTATGATGTCCATAGCAGCGTAGTGTGCTACGTAAAATTTATATTTACATTTTTTTTATACTTCTATTTTTATTTTTTTTTTAAATACATTATATTTTACATAGGTTGACAAGCCTGATTTACATACAGGTAATTTTTTTTTTTTAAGATTCTACAATTTCGATGCGGCCCCCCTAGCACCATCTGGTGGCTCCCCAGGGGGCCACGGCCCCCAGTTTGAGAACCACTGGTTTAAAAGATGTGGAGGGGGGGGGGCGACTCCCCTGAAATGGCAGAAGGTCCAACTTCTCATGCTCTCCCTGCTCTTCCCTCCCAGGCTGGATCCACGCTGTTCTTACCTCTCAGGATTGCATGGCCTTTGGGGGAAACTTCCTTCACAACCTTAACATCGGCATGCAGCTCAGGTGAGAGCGCAAGCCGTCGACTGCGCCTTCCGGCGCCTTCCAACGTCGAGCCGTGTCGGGATTCAGCCCTGCAGCCCGCTGGAACTAGCAGTCACCTTGATACATCACAAAGCTGCGATCCAGTCGATTATGATGAGCAGCCAGTGATTCCATTCCATCTTTTACTCGTTCAGCCAGGTTTTCGTTTTGCTTTCTCCCCCACTGTTGAGTCACACGGTGTAGAGACATTAATAACGGCCATAGCTGGGTTACCTGTGAGAGTCCAATCACGTTCCTGCATGAAAGATCTACCCAAGATCCCCTCAATGAGAGAAGAACATTATTAGCGATGTAGAACATTCCCTTTAGCTCCTGTCTAAGTGGGGACCACAGCCTTAAGTCTAGTTCATACTACACTTTACCGTGCGCTTTTAGTCCGCGGACAGTTGTGCACGGAAGCTTGTGTTCATACTACACTATACCGTGCGCTTTTAGTCCGCGGACAGTTGTGCACGGAAGCTTGTGTTCATACTACACTTTACCGTGCGCTTTTAGTCCGCGGACAGTTGTGCACGGAAGCTTGTGTTCATACTACACTATACCGTGCGCTTTTAGTCCGCGGACAGTTGTGCACGGAAGCTTGTGTTCATACTACATTTGGCTGTGGACCCAGATGGTCGTGGTCAGTACATGCATCCAGCAGTGATACTCCACCAGACCAGCAGAGGGCAGATGCATTGCAACAAACACAAATACAAGCAGTGTAGTCAAATGGGTAAACTTGTTATGAACGTTTTAAAGTTGTTAGGCTCGGGTGGTAATACGGCATACTGTGGTGTTTTGCAAACCAACCATCCATTTTCTGTAACCGCTTATCTTATTCAGGATGGTGGGAGTCCGGAGCCTATGGGTGCAAAGGCAGGAAATATCTCAGGATGGGGCACCAACCCATCACATGAAACACACACACAGGACACACTCACACACGCCATCCACTCACACGCCCACCTGTGGCCAAAACCGGAGTACCCAGAGGAAACCCCGTAGTGACACGGGGAGAACAAGCAAACTCCCCACACATGGAACCCTGGCGGAGACTTGAACCCTGGTCCCAACGGTGTGAGGCGACAGTCTAAGCACTGCACCGCCATGCTGCTGTGCGTTTTGAAATCCTTATGGCAGAATGAGCCAGGACCAGCCCGCACAGCATATAGCAGATAGGGAGCAGCAGCTCACCATTTACTACTACAGCTACTACTGTCCTTCCTCTACTCGTTCGTGGTTGACTTCTGTTCCGAGTCACTGCTGCCACCTGCTGGAAACACCTAGTCAATTTTCTTGCATCTGACAATGGTCACACAGCGATGTCTATGGTTACTCCTCCCCCCCCCTTAGCCCTGCCTTACCTCTCCCCCCACCAGGTGCTACGAGATGGAGCGACGGCTAAAGACTCCAGAGCTCTTCAAGTTCCCCTACTTTGAGGCCATCTGCTGGTACGTGGCCAAAAACCTGCTGGAGACCCTTAAAGGTGAGAATAAAGGGCGTGGGGGTGAATGTGAGAGTGATACGCTGCACTCCGCTCTCAGCCCAGCCCTCATCTGCGTTGCTCTTTCCAGAATTACGGGAGGACAACTGCCAGCCTCCATCTTACCTTATGGATGGAGTGAAAGCTTTAATTACTGCACTGAGGAGCTGGATAAAGAGGGAGGTGAGAGACTGTAATACTCTGAGGCTGGAGGTCCGTGGGGTCTGCAGTCACCTGCTCTATGCAGGACCCCACCATGGAATGAGAAAGCGCAGTGAGAATGATCCTGGGGGGCAGCCTCCCTCTCCGTGATCCTCACTGTCCCCCTTTCCACCCTGCTAGGTCACAGAGCCGACCAGCGAGGTTCCCGATCACATCAGACCCAACCATCTCATTAAGGAACTGAGCAAGGAGGTGCGCTACCAGGAGGTGAGCCTCACCAGGGGTGATGTGGGGGAGCAGAGGGGCCCCTGCATCTGGATCAGGGTTGGATGGGATTGGAGGGAAGCACAGGGCCGGACTGTGGTCTTAGTCTGCTCTCCTGACGCAGACCTCTTCAGCTGAGCCGTCCCAGAGGCCAGCCGGCCGGCTCTTGACTGAACCATTTTTTTCCCCCCACGATGCCACAGGATGAGCAGGTAGGTGGCGGCTTCAAGTCAAGCAGACCTCAGGGAAGCGGCTCGTGCCCCGTGACACGCTCGATAGGAGAGCGGGGCTCTCGGGCGCGCAGGACTGCCCGGCGACTGCGGGACCACGCCGCTCCCAAGCCTCCCTCCAGCCTAGACGTCTTGGAGCTGCATACGCGGGAGGTGCTGCGGAGGTTGGAGGTGGCCCCTTTCCAGGAGGTACGCTCACTCCCTCCGCGGTCACTGGGCCACGGACAGCAGTAATAATTCTTGTAGCGGTACTGAGTGCCCTCGTCGAATCCACGAGCCTCATTGGTCAGATGCCTTCTCCCCTTGTAGGATTTTGCCATCTGCTCCAGGGTGAAGGGGAAGTTCAACAAGGCTGCCGCGGTGTCCATGGCCGCTGCCGAGAGGTGCCTGCAGAACAACCTGCGCTTGGTGATGTGTAATGGACAGATCATCAAGTAAGCTGGGGAACCACCTGCAGGCCATCTGGGGAATTACACATCTAACAGCTTGAATAATAGAAAAGCTCCAGGCAAATGGTGCACGATTGCGTACAAGTGCTTCCCAGTGAAGACGGCCGTGTTCACAGTGACCTCCGACTGTTTCTGTATAGAGATGAGAGGCGGCACGTCACAGCGAAGAGCTTAGGGGCACGGCAAAGCGAGAGGCCGCCAATCCGGCAAAATGATGGAGCCGAGATCAAGATGGAGGCCGCTGATTTGGGGCAGGAAACACCGGGCGCCGTCAGGGAGGAAGCAGAGCCTGCCTGCCTCAGTGGTGAGCCGCACGCCGTGCCGCCGTCACATGTAGCTTCGCTCATGCTTCACTTTTCAGTGTGTGTGTAGGTCTGCGCATAGTCGTGAGCGTGCACTCTTGTGTGCGTTCTGCATTTTTCCATGGATGCAGATGGTCGCGGTTAGCGCCTGTGTACAGCAGTGATACCCCACCAGACCAGCAGAGGGCAGATGTATCGCAACAAACAGAAATACAAACATTGTAGCAAAATGGGTATATTTCTTCTGAACAGTTTTAATAGGCTTGGGCAGTATTAAATTCAGGTACAGCGTATTCTGGCAATCCTGAAATCCTTGTAACAAAATTAGCCACCACCCCCCCCAGCATGACAAATTACCCTCTGCACCTCTTGCCACAACTGCTCTTTCTTCATTGCTTCTGGTCTGTGAAAGTCAAAGCTGCCACCTACTGGAGACGCCACAGTCGGTGCACATGATCTCCACCGGAGATGAAAATCTGCCGGGTTTCTTGCCCACCGTCCGATGCAGACCCCTGACGGCGAAGTTTCCGTCACTCACCCTGTGCGCGAACCACAGACACGTGCGGAAAAGTGAAGATGGCCTTAAACTGACAGTCAACACATCTCACTTCTGACATCATTCCACTAATCAGTTTGTGATTGGACGGTGTGTGGTCCAGTGGGTTAGAGCACTGTGCTTGTCACCGGAAGGTCGCCGGTTTGAGTCCCATGGTCTATAAAGTGGTGTCACTGCTGACCTGCTTTCAGTTGTACGCCTCTTTGGACAAAAGTACCTGCCAAAAAAAGAAAACCGGAAATGGCCGCCCCCCCCCACCACCACCACCACCACAGGCATGAGAAACTCTGAGCTTTAGTGTGGCATCTAACCATTATAATACTACTGTTGTGTTGAACAGATATTTTGGAAAGCGTCAAATCAGAACTCAGGAATGAACTATCAGGACACTCGGATATTTCGGACTCCGCGTCCGAGAGCAGCTGCGCACAGGTACCCGTCCGTTCCTGTACCATGCCTTGCCCGCTGCCTGCCCCCCTTGCCCCAAAATTCAGCTGCATTTCTGCACCGCCGTGGTGTCCCCAGCAGAAGGACTCCTCTGAGGAGTCTTCAGGAAGCTCGGAGGAGGAGGAGGAGGAGCGCCGGGCAGATTCCTCACCAGGCAAGATGCGGGGTGGTTCCAGGGGCATAGCGGACCTGTACCAAGCCAGCCAGAGGATCCACCATCAAGACAAGCTTCTCAAAAGGTGAGGGAACATGCCGGAATCTTCTAGAACTGACATGTATTGTGATAGGTAGAACCGTTCCGGTGGATTAAAATTGTTTTTAATGTAAAGGTTTGCTTATGAACGTAACCAGGCATAAGTTATTTTTTAATCCAAGACTACTTTTTATAGATATACCAGAAGCGTTTAGGTTTATTTCAGTGTTAATGTCAGTTAAACCTTGATTTGGAATGTTGGTTTTGTGAATGAACTTGGTGTTTCTGCAGGGAACGTCCCACCTCACCAAGCACGGAAGAAGCCATTGAGGGCATGTTGTCCATGGCGGGTTTACTGTGCCCCAAACCTGAAGATGGGGCCACCTTGCAGGAGCCCTGGTGGTCAAGCCCAGCTCATGGCTCACCTGAGTGTGGTACGTGTGCAGCCGATCTGGAGGGTGTCTGTGTGCGCGTCTGCCCGTCTCTAACAGCTCCTCCCCCCCTCTGCTCTCCAGGCGGAGCGGAGCTCATCTCTGAAGGAGAGAGTCAGGGCGACTCTGACAGCAACTCTACCTTCAACCATCAGGTACTACTGCTGGTGCGCCCCGCTACAGTATGACCAGCTGCCCACTAGGTGGAGCCCTGTTACGATAGCTGCATCGATCGGCACCTCCGCATCACTTCCTGTTAGTGTAGTTACTGTTTTTGTTGATGTTGATATTCCTTGCGTGCCAGGATGAGCGGCGGAACCACAAGCATAGCGGAGAGTCCTGGGCGGGCGGCTCCACCCCCCTACACCAGGATGACTGTTACCAGTACACTGAGATCTCCCTGTCGCCCCCGCTGCACCCCACCAAGAGGCCCACCTGCAACCCCCCGCCCGTCAGTAACCAGGCCACGAAAGGTCAGCCTCCTCTGAGTGTAACTAGGCATCGATTAAACCAAAATCTGTTCTTTTGCTAGTCATTTATCCTGCTTTTTTTGGTTTGATGATTTTTACTACTTTGCTTAACAAGTACAGCATGACTTCTGGGACTCAAACCTACAACCCTGTGGTTACAGCATTGTGTTTTTAAACTGCTGTGCTACGGTTGCATATCTTGATGAAAGTAGGAGTTAGCATTATGTACGTGCATGTATAGGTGCCGCACCTTATTGGTTGGTCTGTTTTATTGAACTTTCCCTGCAGGTAAGCGACCCAAGAAGGGTATGGCAACCACCAAGCAGCGGCTGGGCAAGATCCTGAAGCTGAACCGACAGAGTCGCTTCTTTGTGTAGCGGAGCAGAAAGACTGCCCCCCCCACCCCCGCCCCCCTCCATCCAACCCCACCCCCTTCCAGTCTTCCCAGTCTGACTGTTACGGGTTATGTTACTATGGGATCTGGGGCTACGTGTGCAGGGAGACCGACCCCCCCCACTCGGGTCTCAGGGTGCAGCATTCCTATGCTGTTCCTTCACAAAGACAGGAAGGTGCAGGAACCTGACGCGGATTGCTTGCTGTGGAATCGCTGGGACTCCGTCTCTGACGTCACAGAGGCCACGTTGTGGGCCCAGGCAGCTTGGGGGACCAGGGAGGGGGGGCAGCTAAACCACAGAGGAAGCCTTTGGGTCTCATGGTTACCTGGGCCCCATGTGCCAAGCTGAGAGCACACTAATGACTGGAGGAGGACCCTGGTTTTACTTCCCAGTCGCTCATCCTTCGTTTTTCCCTTGTGTTCTCCCACTTCTTGGGGTCGCTCTCATCCGCTGTGCCCATCTGGCAGCGGCTGTGCCCCCCCCCCTTTATTTTAAAATATAGGATTGTAGCACAACAAAGGTGCCGAGACAAACTGCTGTTTGAAATGGTGCTCAAGGTTGTATATACCTCCGTTCCCTTGACCCCCCAATCCATTCGTTCCAGCAATAACGTGGGTGAGGATGTGGACAGAACTCGTATTCCTTGGGTCTCCAGTTTTCCGGAGCCTCACAGTCCAGTACAGAGCTGTTCATTTATTCGCCATCATTACAGCTCTTCAGGGAACGTTGTTGAGGCGGCCCTGCATCGCCGTGTTCAGCTTTCACCGTGATCCCGTGCTTTTTCTGCCTGCTCTGCTCTCCAGAGCACGATCCCTCCAAATGTCTACACATATCCCTCAGACGAGCTTAGTTTGCAGCTCCTAATTGTATAATGGTTTGAAATAACTGAAACTCATTTCTACACTTTTCTTTCATACACAAAACATATTAATACCTCAAAAATACAGTGACCATCGTCAGAAATGTTCAGCATCAAGGAATGCCGATTTCTTTGTCGCCATCTATTGGAGGGAGGAAGACCTGCAGTTTGAGAATGCTGCTGTCGGCCAGAAAATATTTCTCAAAGGACAAAAAAGTTTACTGAAGCATTAAATGTACAGGGAAAAATCCCACTTAATTTATTTCATATTTCTGTTGGTATTGTTTTATGGCTTTTGAATGGTGTATTTATTATTGAAAGAATAATTGTTTTGTTTGAATGTGAAGACAACCTGTGTACAGTTTAATGCAAAGGATTGATTTTGTTTTTTTTTTTAATCAGTCCACATGATTTTGTACTCGAGCTTTTGAAGAGGAAGCTCTTTGTGTGGCTATCAGTTTGATGACACTACTGCTGGTCTTCTGGCTTTCGTGGTTTCCTTCTCAGTTGCTAAGTTGCTAGTCTCTGTTAGCTTTAGCTTTTGTACAAACTGAAAGTTTGAAGTCCCTAGTTCATGTTGCTTTGCTGACGTGCTGTACTATCTCCATCCCTGCGTCTGTGATGGGCCCTGTAGTGTTGCCGCTAATGGCTGGCTTGTGGCTTGTGGCTTGTGGACGTGTGCTGAGTATCTCCTTCTCCCTCCGTTTTTTTTGTTTTTGGTGGTCCATGACTGTTTTAGCAGAACATTCTGCTGTTTTTTTATGCTGTCGTCAACCCCCCCCCCCCCAAAGATGGAGTCAGTCTCCATTACACGACAGGGCTAGGGCTCCCAGTGCATCTGAGACCTTCATCCTGTCCACACTCTTCATCACTTTATTACTATTATTACTTTTCCCCCTAAACCCTCACTTTAAGATGCCAGCAGGTTTAGTTGGCGATTTTGTGAGGCTTGTAAGTTGAAATCCCTGCTTCCCATGTTGGTTTTTTTTTTAAATACCCTCAGTGACCTCAGGTAAAAGTTTATAGCTCTTCTACTGCAAAACCTGCCATGTTTCGCGTTCTTGGGGCACCGAGCCAGTCTTTCTCAGGGACCGACGCCGCTGTCACTAGCATTAGCCGCGCTTCTCGCTCTCTCTCTCTGTGAAGGTTATCTTCAGACATTAGTTCTTGTGTGGGAATTGAAGAGCACCCTCTTGTCCTTGCCGCCAATCCGCTCGCCCCCAACCCCTGCCGATGCCTGCAGAATTTCTCCCCCCCCTCTGTTGTCGTAAACACCAGCACAGACTCGTACAGACCGTACCTCTCTGCCATCTATTGCTTTTGCCTGCTTATGCCACTTCTAGGCCCAAAGTGAGTGTGAATGGGGATTGACGTCTGCCTGCGCTCCACGATTCCGATAACAAATGAACTATTTTTATTAATCATTTAAGGAGTGCTGCAGGAAGTTGAAACGCATGTTTTTCTGTCGTGGTGACTTCTATGAAATCTGAGCGTCTGAACTTAACGCACAGGGTAACACCAACAAGAGAGGCCTTACGTGATGTCAGGACGACATCACTACCTTTAGCGTAAGTTTCCCAGGGTGCGCCGCTGGTACCTTTTCAATCATATCTGACTGGAAAGCGGAGTTCCAGGTCTCTCCCAGTCTCTACACACGACCTCCAAGTAGCCAAAAGTGCAATTTGTTTATCCAGGTGACCAACACTAGTGGAAATCTTGGCTCTAAAGTTTCTACTTTCTGGTTTTTCTGCATGTTTTTTCCTCCACTCTCTGTCAGATTGCTAAAAATTGCCACTATGTCTTTATTCTTTGGCTTTTTGTTTCCATAAAAACCACATATGATCAGGCGCCAATTGATAAATTATAATTGGCAGGGTCTGTCTTATGCAGTGCTATAAATTGTACAGTATTTGCCTATTGTATTTTTTGATAAACTTAAATTTGCAGTTTGTTTACCCAACCATTATTTCCTCCACTCATCTGTAAAAGGAAATTCCAATTATAACTTTTGTCTTGCAGTTCTTCACCGTTTCAGTGTCTTTATACACATTAATTTCTGAATTAAAAATGCTTGTAAATATTAAAATAGTTCTAACAGTTTCTTGTTGTGCTTATTGGTTTCTAAATGATATAGGCTCAACATCTGATCTGCTTTACCCAAGAAAAGCAACAGAGCCTGTGGAATGGGATAAATCCATATTTCTTTATTAGTCTATTTACAATACTGACTGATGAACAACTGCACCAGTTAGTCCAGCTGGAATCCGGCACATGAAAGGATGATCCTAGCAGCAGAAAATGAATACTCTCAGAGTGAAGCACATCCTATGATGCATACAATTTGCTACAAGGAAAGAAACATACAACCACTAGTTGAATGTGAATTTTAAATAATAATAATCATCATCATCACTATATTAATCCCCGTGGGGAAATTGTCTTTTTTACACCTCCCTCAACTTGCTCTTTCTAAGCAAGCGGTCTGCGAAGGGCAGCCACCCGTAGCGGCACCCAGGGAGCTGGGGTTAAGGGCCTTGCTCAAGGGTTTGAACCAGCGGCCTTGTGATTACAAGCACACAGACTTAGCCCACTGAGCCACACGCTGCCCCAAATACTCTCAACCACAGAAGTTAAACAGCTTAAAATGTAAACTTTAAATGACAAGTCGGGCTAAAAAGTTATGTCACTGCAAGAAGCGTTAAAGCCCAGTACAGAAACTTTTCCTAGTTATACACACTCCTTAGAATGGGGGCGGGGGTAGTTATACCTCACTCTTCATCATCTGCAGGTATCCCAAGTTCTTCATCTGTCCACTGAGAAGCATCAGGCCATGGAAAGTGACCCTGAGGAGAAAGGAAGACAATTTCCATTTAACAGGACAGCCTGACCGTGTGGTCAACAAAAGCTCAATGTACAGAGAGTATAGCGAGATCAGGACAGATGAAACAACCGGACATGAAGCAGTAGGAGTGGTAAGCTGACCGCCAGCCAAACTAAAGTAGTCAGCCAAAAGACATGTCTGAAATCGACCCATTCTGGGACTTGGCAGTTAATATTCTCCCAGCTTACCAGCACTGCATCTGGGTCATGCCAACAGTGCCACAGAATCCAGAACCACATGGCACCGCTGAGTAGTTCTGCTTGGAATTGCTGGCTTCTAGTGAGCTGAGGGGCTTGCCGATACTGGGCCTCTATGTGAGGTCCACCGCCTGCTCTGTAAATGCACACAAAAGTCAAGCTTTGAAAAGAACAGCCTGCATGCCTACATGCCACGCACTCGGGGATATACACAACATACGTAATACCAGTAGATAACAGTGATAAAATATAAGGGTTATCATCACACTGTAGTTTACATTAATATTTTACAGTAACAGTTTTGGTTACATACCTTACACTAAAGCAGGATATTCCCAATCATCACATAGCCATTTCATATATTAGGTCATTTCTCTTCCACATCACACAACTGGACTAATTATGGGATGTAGTATTAGTTGAAGGTTACACATTGTCTAGCTAGGGAATAGACGAAACATCAAGATCGACTGGGAGCTAAAGGAGAAGACTGGGAACCACTGACAAAAAATTGCAATTTTGCTGGATAGTTTGTTTACAAATTACGAGTTATCCGAATTCAATTATCTCGGTATTATTGTATGACATTTAGTAGCAAAAGGGTTACGAGTACCTGTTCCTGCCCATCACACTCCCTACTGCCCTCACTAAAAATCCATATCCAGAAACGAATCACGACTGAACATTTTTCTATAAGAATAATGTCACTGACACAGATCACCTCAATGTCACACAGTAATACTGTTAAACTGAGATCAACGGTGGTCTGCAAAATAAGCTACATAGCAAAATTCTTCAAAATTAAAATCATATCAATTATAAAACCCACAGAACTATACAAGACAGCTAAATAGTACATACAGCAAACCGGAAAAATCAGTACTTATTAAAAAAACATTCTGTCGATGTGGCTATCCAAACTAGCTACCCCCCTACAACACAAGCGTGCTTACCTTCGCACTACAATTCTTTGAGGTCCACGATTAACGAGTCGTGTCCCTTCTCTGAAGACAGATAAAACTCTTCCAAGAGAAGACATCTTATCCTGTTTTCCTCGTCCGTCCCTGTACTTTGCTGTTTTTCACAACCTTGAAAACATCTATTTTATTCAAAATGTCACCTTCCTCTTCCGACTGTATATCCACATGTCAACAACAAGCTCTGTGATTGGCCCAGCTTCTTCTTCATGTCATTTACTCGTTCGTTGAGGTTTACTGTGTGTATGGTAACATAGCATCTCGCCATCTACTGGGTGGGAATGTAAAACACCATTTCGCGTCTAATGCTTAATAAGAAGAGCGTGTTACTGCTCCCTCCGTGGGACTGGCACCCCGTCCAGGGTGTTCTCTTGCCTTCTGCATTATGCTGCCTGGGATATGTTCCAGTACCCCCCTCTCCGAGCACCCCGTGCTGTGTAAGCCGTTGGAAGATAGGCGCATAAATGTTTATATCATCGTAAATAATTTATACATGCCGTAAGATCCGTGAGCTTTTAGTTGGGTCCAGGGCACCAGGGGTGACTCCGTTTCTAAAGGCGGACTTATGTAACTAAAATGTAACTAATTTGTTCATCCCTGGTTCAAAACCATATAACGAATTTTACTAGTTGATCAGTGCTTGTAAGATGGATGGATGGCGTTTTACAAGTATCAAAACAACAATGTATACTTGTAATGAAATCACTTCTTCGTATTTAACTTCGTCTTTAAGTATTTTGGCACAGTTTTCCACTAGTTGTATTTTCCTCCTTAAATCATAAGCGTTATTTGTCTTGTTAAATTATTTTTATTGATTGGGAGAAAAGTATTTCACCTATACAATACGTATTAGGTGAGTATATCCGTCAGATGCATGTATGTCCACTAGAGGGAGACAATGACCTTTGTTGAATTCAAAATCCCACTGAAAAGAGTAAATACGTGGAAAACAGACCAGGAACAAGCGCCAAAGCATAGGACAGTGTTTATTTCTGTAGTAGGTTCATACAGTTGTGTTTGTTGTTGAAAATGGTAATGTTTTCTTCAATTGCTAGCTTCCAAAATGAAAGACTTATTATTCCGATGCAGCGATGTAAATATATGTTCTTCTTCAAGGGACAGACACCTATCCTGCGAGTTTATAATTTTGACAGTCCAGAAGCAAAGCTCATTATGCAAAAAAAATCACACAGTCCTGTTCATTAATATAATGTAACTATCACTTTATTAGTGTTACAAATATAAAAGCATGAACTGATATCAGTCCAAATTATGTGACAGCAAAATAAAAATGGAACACGTGGATGAGACAATTAGAGCAATTATCAATGTCGTTTCCAAGGAGGTTACAAACTAAAAAGCACCCCCACTATGCCCGAGGTAGCTGGAGGTCTTGATCTGACAAGCAGTTATACTGATAATGGTGGCAGTCTTCAGCATAAGCTCCCCCTCCCCAAAGAAATGCTGAAATCATCATGTGTAACATTGACTCCAGCTGGAGGGAAATGTGCTATCCTGCATAAGTAACGGCTGCATTAAGCATGTGCAGACTGAAAATGTACTTAGGATAGTTATTAAAAAATACTTGGTGTAAATATTTTCGCCTGTACATTTACAAAAGAAATGTATGCAAATTACAGGTGAAATGTCAACTCAAGCGTGTAAAACCACAGATGCTAAACACTGCAGAATTAACAGCTGTACATTTAAAATAGAAAAACACATAATACCAGGCGGGGGGGGGGGTATTATTTTGCAGAACAGTGTCATTCACATCAGGTGGGCAATAATAAACTCTTTCTGTGAGGACTGTGACTATTGAAAACTTAACATGTTTCCACAACAAAATGATGAAGATTTAAGAAATCTGTATTCCTGGCCATACGAAGGACCTAGTCAGACTATATTTGCTAAGGCTGTATGACCTTTACATAAAATACTATGCAACCATTTCATTTGTAATGAGTGGCTTGTAAAATCCCAACACAGGATTACTGTATTCATACATGATATTGCATCATTCCTTCCCATAGTAATTTTGAAGATGAAACAGCAACAGTAATGTTGTAATTACATTATTTTAATAGTCATACTGCTTTGTAATCAAACTACTTAGCAGTAACAATGTATTAAGGACTGGAAAAATACAGGTTTGAGCTGCAAACAAGGAGTCTGTTAGCTGCCTATGGGACTCTGCGTAATTTAGTCATCTCCTGGCTATACCAGAAATGGCAGCAACTCCAACAAGAGTACCCTGGCTTAGCTGGACGTACAGTAAGGTACATGGAGGGGGGGGGGCTTACAGCCTCCTTCACCATTACCCCAGAAACCCTTCAAAAAGTACCCACAATGAAGGAGCAAATGAGAATTTCCCTAAATCCGAGAACATGATGACTTGGAGAACAAAGCATAAAATAGCCAGAACAATTCTGTATTTTAAGAAGCCTTTAGACTGAATTATTGGTGGTAGTGAGTAGATATTTCAGAGCACATCAGCATATAACAGAGCCCTGGCATCGTTGACCTGGTGATCAATTGCCAAAGACCAATTACCGCGTTTCACACAATTTTGTTTCTGTTCTCATTACAGCAGTGGTACCATATGGACCCAGGGAAAAAGTTGATCTCAGAGAGAATGACAGATTTGCTACAGAGGTTATTCCCACAAGCAGAGTACTGGACCAGCTTTTGGCAATAGCTGGCACACTGGTGAATAACAGCAAAAGGGGAAAATGCAGGGCGTATCTGATTAGTCTTGCTGTTTGGGACAAAAACACCCGTTAAGCACTCACATATTCAAATCCAGTGAAAGTGTGACATGTAATATACTGTCTAAAGCATGGGGAATCCCAAACACACTGGACTAAAAAAAAAGAGTTTCTGGACCGTGCAACCCGTCACAGCTGCAGCACATTTTCTGGCGCCACCACAGGTCTGTGGAGCTCCCAGCGAAATGAAACCTTTCAACGACGCGCAGGATTTAGGACTAAATTTGGTGCGTGGAAGCAAACGGCACACAGCAACGACGACTTACTGTTAACTGTCTAACGTAACAGTTGGCAATCCAAAGCGTTTCATGTAAAGCAGAATTTGCACTTAAATCCGAAATAATTAACCAGTTATTAGTCACAATGTTAAAGTACGGGCTGTAAGGGATTAACCGGAGATTTTTTCCAAAACTTCCACTATTGCGGCATCATTTTCTAGACTGGTCAGCATTCATTCCACTCCGACGTGAGAGAATATTAATTTTCAGAAATAAGCCAGTAATACTTAACTCAAAAAGACCCGAGCATGTTTTTTTAAAAAAAAAAAAAAAAAAAAAAAAAAAAAAAAGCCAGCGGGGTCTTGGGAAGCTTCCCTGCAAAACAAACCGGGCACGTCTGCGTCAGTGGCGCAAACGCACCAACTCGCCATTTACTCGTCGACCCGAGGAAACCTAGGCGCTGGACGACAACATGGCGGACACTGACAGCACTCAGCCCGTGACATTTAACATGCTTACTTATACCTAGACATCCATGAGTCACACAACGGTTATTATTTCCTTAACGTCGAATGAAATCCCACATCATTAAACTTTCGCCCTGTTGACATTTTGCTCATATCCACCTAGCTAGCGTAATATTCCAAACTGTAAAATAACCGAATACTAGAAATATAAACTCGTTTATACAAAAATGGTACGGACTCCACCCTCGAAAATATGAAGGGAAAAAAAACAGGGGGTGGAAACAATTGCTCGCAGAACTTAAAGGGACTTTTGTCTTCGCCGAAACACCAAAACAGGAAGTATCCTTTCCTCTCTATCCCTCTCGGGAGCGCGCAGTCCCACCCCAGCGCGCGCACTCCAGCCTCGGGAGCTTTCTTCGGCGCCATCTTAACCTCATACTCGCTGCGGCTAAATCAAATATTAATTCACCTTTTTCGACACAAATAAACGATTAAAATTAACATACAACTCTAGTATCGTTAAAAATGCCAAAATCCTTCTAATTGTTGCGTCATAACGTAGCAACGTTCAGCTACCACGCGCACTCGCTTAATGGCGTCCGCCTTCCTTGCTTCTCCGCTCGGACCGCTCTCTCCTCGGAGCTCAGAATCCACCCCGACAGAAGTGATGTCATCGACAGCCAATCAATTCTTAAAGAAGCCGCAGTGTGCCTGTCTTATTGGTCAGAAACGCCGTCAGTCTTTCTATTGAGTTAGACGATGGGGATGGGTAATACGGATAAGAACGCCATTTTACTCCTACACAAGAGCCTCACATTAATTTTCTAGACTGATCAGCCAATGAACGAATACATACAACACAATATACAAACAACACTCTAATACAGTCCATGTCTTGAGGGTAAAAGAAATCCCGCAGAAATATCTGCACAGACTTGCACGGTAACAAGTAATATTTTTCGCCCGTAAATAAAAATTTCATAAAACATAATCAGATTTCAATTTACTTAATTATCTCCTGAACCGCCATCTCCAAAGCCTAAAGATCAAAGCTTAAAATGACACCACGACTCCCGTTTTTTTCCGCGGCGACTTGCTTCTCCATCGTCGATGTTAAATACAGTCCAAAGTGTTGCTATTGTGTTGGGCGCATGCGCAAATGATCGCCGTGCTGGCACATCTAACGGGAGGGGGAGGGGATATTAGAGCAGACGAGCTTTCATTCTGGGTTATTCATACTGTAGGTTTGCAACGGTAAATGGACTAGATGTGGAGCAGTGGTCAAATGACACACTGAAAATCATGCAAGACATCTACTCAGTGTTTGAAATGTTTTTATTTTTCATTCTCCATAGCAACCCGCCTGTTTTCCGCTTCCCCAAATACATTTCGTGCCCCGTAAAATTGTAATGGTATGTTTTTTTTTCGTCGTGACGTCTGAAATTAGCAAACTACACCTAGTCTACACTGCTACAGGATGTTTACGTGTATCTGGACTTGTACTCAGTGAAGGTTCTGGATAACCAGCATCCAGATGTTTGTATTTATACAATATTGTCAGTGAGCACTGCCCACCCACCTCCAGTACGGCTTTTTAAAAAAAGAGTTCTTCTCTTGTGTAAGGGAGTTACGTAATTTAGCTTTGCTGTGCTAGACAGGAGACAGGGCTGGTCAGCCAACTGAAATATTTCCTTGTGACAAATCACATCAACGAACTCAAAAAAGTTACAGAAGGGTTTCCTATTCTAATGGACCCGTATTGTAAGACATAACTTATCATGACTGACGGTTACTGCATGTCAGATAAACAAGTTTAAGGCTTACATGTAAAACATGCATAACTTGCATGTCATTTTTATAGTGAGGTCTGTTTTGTTAATGATTTCTCTGTAGATGCTGGGACAGAATTATCCGGGTGTGGATTACACTAAACTCAACTTCATACCTTCATTGTAAAAATCAGTTATTATACTAAAAATCGTACACTGTTGTAAATCTAAAAAAAAAAAAGCATGGATGAGTTTCCCAGGGGTGGAAACAGGAGTGAGAGAAGAGGGTCCACAATTAAACTTCCTCTACAGGGAGCTGTAAGTGCAGAAGCCTGGGTTGAGTCTCTTGCAGGGCTGCAAGAGACTCAACTAACACAATAGTATTCAAAGTCCTTACTGGGAGGCATGACAAGAGACTTGTATGGGAATTTCTACTGGCCTGAGTTATTTGCAAAATAGCTTGTTGGATTTCCAGAGCCAGACGAAAATATAAACATTTACCACAACATTTGGTAGTAGCTTATGTCTATGAAGAACATTCCTATACTGAGTCACTTGGCTTGCTATGTTTGTGATAGGCTTCAACTCACAGCAAATGAAAGTTGTTAGGATATGACTAGTCACTTCTCTTCACACTGGTGACATTTTCTTTCATGTGTTTGACACAATTTTTCTACCATGGCAACACCACACGTCCAAATTCTTTGTGATTCTTTAAAAAAATGGCATTGCATATTCTGTTCTCAAACAATGCCTTACTGAAATTTATGATGCTTGCTTGGTTCATATGTTTCACACATTACTTAACTGAAATATATCCCATGTGGCTATATGTGAATATTGACCTCATTCTAACTGGTTGCATTGATCCTGGCTACTACAGTGAGTGGTAACCGAAGCAGAAATCACTGATAGTTGAGACAAGTATTATTTCTCTTGGTTTAGCTACATTGTGTAACATGAACTCGATTTCTCTAATGCTACAGTGTCATATACAGCAACATGATGTTACTGATCTGTATACCGGTATTCTGAGCTCTGTCAAAACAGCAAAATGATTAATGAATATTCAAAATGAATCTCTCTCCCACAGCCTACTTTCCCGTTTGTATTTGAACAGATGTAATCTTTAAATTAGCCCAGTGCAAAGGGAAAACGTTGAATATTTAGTTGCTTTAAGTGTAATATGCTTAATAAAGTAATAATATTTTATACAAAAGAATAAAAGGCACACTCGTTTAAACATTCTGCGTAACAAGAATGCATTACTAGAGCAGATATTTCTTATGTCTCGCAATTTGTACATGTAAGGACCTCAAGCACAAACGATGCAAGCATTCGAATAGGTGCTTATTTACGGCAAATGGGATCATTCTACGTTTTGCTTCTCTTTACCCATCTATCTCTCTAAGTGGGCATCTGTCCTTCTTCGCTCGTGAACGCGCTTTTGCCGACGAACTCTGCTTTGAGGGCGCCCCTGCGGTTGAGGCAGGGTGAACCCCGCAGGGCGTAGGGGCGGGGCCGAACAGAGGAAGGGGGGCTCACGGGGGAGGGGGCGGAGCCACAGCGGTCCTGCCTGAGCCGCCATTTTTGCAAAGGGAAAAGAGACAGGAGAGTGGATACAGTTTCTATCAGTCATTAAAGGTAGGACAGGGAATTAAACGGTTCGGGACGTGTGAAAACCCAAAATACTAGCTTGGGAGTGACGTTGAAAAGAATTAGAAGGAGTTGTTGAGTTTTTTTTGTTTTATTTTTTTTATTTTTTTAAGGTGAGGGGTTGAGTTGCATTAACATTTCCCCCTTTGAAGATCCGCAGTGGAGACGGTAGTATTGTTTTGGTTGTGTGGAGGCGAGGGCGGCGGGGTCTCACCGGGTCCCCGGTTCCTTTCTTCGTTTCATCTACAGTGGACATTAACGGTGAGTCAGAACGCTTACGGTTGCAGGAGGGAGCCGAAGCCCCTTTTTTCGTGGCCGCGCCACGTAGTTTTCACCAGGGGATCTCATCAAATTACAGCCCGAGTTAGCCTGCTAGCTGCGCTAGCCAGCCGTAGCCGTTACCGCCGTGACGGCCCCCAACACCCCGCTAGGGCTTCTCCGTTTACCCCACCAGCTCCGAACACGGCCTTTGTGGATAACAGCACGGATTTGGGTCCAGCTGACCCAGGGGAGTGTGCCGTCCGGTCCGCGGGAAGGGCAGCGCTCGGACTCTGCCAGCTAGCCCTCCGTGGCGGCGCTGACACGCTCGGACACCGTTAAAATATGTATATATTTTTAAAGTGCTGCGGAGGTGCGTCTGAGACGCGCGGGGCTCGGAGTGCGACTTGCTTCCTGCGAGCGACAAGCGGGGCAAAGCTTCGTTTCAGCCGGCCTGCTCGCGTCTAACGCAGCCTCAGCGGAGGACCAGGGCATGGAGGACGCGGGTTACAGCAGCGTCGCTGGCTGATAGATACGGTGCTCCGGGCGAGTGTGAGCTCGGGTCTGTAAGATGAACACTATCAGGGGGCTCTGGACCCCGTGATGTCCGTCTTTAAGACGGAGGAGAGGTGCGCAGCGTTCGGCTAGGGCGCCCTTGTTTACATAGTTACTGTATCCAGAACCGAGAGCTACGTCTGCGGTGCCGCACGCCACTTAAAGCCCGCCATGGTGCTACGAAAACAATAATATAACAGACAGGGAGGGTCGGATGTGTCTGTTAATATGGAGTCGGATACGAATCTATGCTGTCAGTCGCTGGGCTGGGCGGCAGACATTGGCAGGGTGTCGCTGGAGACCGCCGGGGTCCCCGCTGCTTTTCACACCCGTGACATTTCGACCCTTAATCCGGACTCGCCGTGTGGACTCGGCCGAGCCGATCGTCCGGGTTGGCGTCCGTGGGGGAGGGGAGCCTCGGAGGCTGTACGGGGGAAGAAAACAGTGGAGCGGCGGCCGCTGGGCGCCTTTCTCTTAGTGCATGCACACCTTCGGAGGACGGGAGGCGACGCGTGATTCGTGGAAACAGCTCCCGGTGGCCTGAGTCGGGGCTATCCTCCGCCCATGGTCCTCATGTGAACGCGCTGGTGTGCATTTCGACGACTGGATATACATACCTGCGTCGCACGGTTTTAAAGATCTAAAGCGCGGTGGGGGACAGCTACGCGGAGCATTAACGCAGATTACGTTTCTGATCCCGGAGTCGGTCGAACTGGGCTGAGTTCCATGTCTTTATATTCCGGACGACGCGAAAATGCCGCCTAAAGTGGTACATTTTCAATGGCCGGGGGCTGCTTTCGCTGCCTTCCGCACGATTCCCCTGCCGTCTGTCTCCAGGAAAAGGCTGTAAAGATGGCGGCCGGGGTCGATGATATGGTAATTTAATCCGTTCATCCTTCCACACCCCTGCTGCCGGTCGGGCTCTCCGCAGCGCCGACACGCACATGAAGACGTTACTACATCTTTTGAGAATCCCGCAAAAGGCCGTTTGAGGGGCTGTTTCAGGATTTCTCGCGTTTAAGGGAAGAAAGAGACCAGTTTCTTAACATGGGATCTGCCTGAGGACATTGGTCGGCATTCTGCATGCGTATTTAAATGGTTTATTTTACACGAAATGGAAACATAACGTAATGTGGCTGCTGGGTCACGCCCCCTCCGAAATGTACCACATTTTAACGATTCGTGCACCGTAAAGGCATTTTTGTGATAATATGTAAAAAGACGGTTCTGTGATTTTTATGAAGGCTAATGCATACGTAGTATTTGTTCGAAAACAGTCCTCCGGGACGTTCACATTGTTGTCGGTGAATCTGTGATGTTTCGTGTTTTTTTTTTAATTGTTTTTAATAAACCCAATTTAAAATGGCTGTTTTCTTTCTTGCGTACACTACGACGATTGTCATTCCGAGTTACGTTTATGCACATAAGCATAGAGTCGGGTTGCCTCGCTAGGCTGCACTGTAGCCTGGTCTGTCCTTCAGACACCACCCCCCACCCCGGATTGACCTAATGCTGGAACAAGCTACAGTTGTGGTTTCCAGTCTGTGTCACTCTCTCCAGGAAGGTGAAAGCCGGAGGCCAAGGATACAGTGTTTAATGACATTCAGGCTGCACATATGGAAGTGCAGGATTAAAATGGAAGAGATGAAAATGATGTAATTGTTGTACCCTAATGGTTCAATTGGCTCAAACCAGGGATCATACATTAGTTTCAGCAATGATTATGTGCAGAAGTGGACTTTTATTCTCAATACATTTCTCTTTGTAATTTATGCTTGGGGTGCTGTTTGTGAGCATGTGAGTCTCCCTCATGTTGTGAGAGACTCAAATGTGAGACATTAATTTGTACTATGTATCTTTTTTATATCTGCCTCCTTTTGAGATATTATGCCGTGGGGAGGACCTGGAATCCTGGTGGCTTGAATAAAGAGCGCCTTGGTGATACATCCTATATATTTACTGACCAAGCCATCAGTTTCAATTTTCAGTCGTGGTTTTATTTTAAGAAGAAAAGAATTTTGTCACCTGGGCGGTTTGAGTTATTAGTGTCTGTTAGCATCACTGTCTACCTCGCAGGTAGGTCTGGAGGGGCTGTGAAGCAGCAGGAGTAGCGCTGCAGATCTCCAGATACGTGAGAAGAAACTGTGCCCATTCCACAGACCTGGGCATCACACAAAAAGAGAGTTTTTAGTAAACTGATAGCATTTCCAATTATTATTTGGAAGAGCCACATCCTGTTTGCATCACCCCAGATCTTTCTGCAGTATGCAAGGAATGCGTTCTGGGTTTTTAATTCTGTAACTGCGGTTTGCTGATGGTCATAACTGCACAGGCCTTACACAGTGTTCACCTCAGCCCCCACCGCCTTCCACTCCAGGCCCGGACTCGCCTGTAAGGACTCTGTTGGCTCTGTCTGTTTTCAGCTGGCTTGTGAGGCAAGTTGGATACAGTTCTGTGGCGGAAACGTTGGCAGCTTCCATAAGAATGCTGGTTTTATGTTGTTGCCAGACTAGTTTTTTTTCCCCCTTTCCCCTGTATCGCAGTGTGGGGCCACTCTGACTTGAAACAAGCAGGAAAAGGCTGCAGGTTTGTGGTTAATTTGGATGGAAGCTGCAGGCAGCGAAAGGTGTGTGTGGCATGCCAGCGTTTCGGAGTCCAGCTCCAGCCCAACTTCTGGTGGATGCTCACGGTTCTTCACTAATCCCACTTCAGGCTTGTTTTGTGCGCTGTTTGGGACCTCCTATCGTTTTGTGTTGGGCTGATGATGCCGATTTGCCGTGAGGTTCCCTCTCCCCTCACCCCTGTCTTCATCGCTGACACAGGCATGGTAGCCCAGTCAGTCAGTTAAAATGCCTTGGCTCTTTTGGCTGAAGGACATTCACGGCCGGCATGAGATCCACGGCTCGGCCCACAATGCACAGCGTGGAGGTCTCACTGCCTTTCGGTTTCTCTACGGTGTTTTGCCGTGTTTTCAGGATACAGGACAGGCTGGTGAAGGTCGGAGGGAGCAAATTTACTGCGTCAGTTTTGAGCATGTCTTGTCTGTCATTAACAGCCTGCTTCTCATAAGTGGGCGCTGTGTGTTCACATTTTCCCCAGAGGGACGGAGATTGGGCTCCTTCCTCTCATTTTCCCAAATCCTTTAAATTTTTTATATACATTTGCAGAAACAAAGTCTAGAGTCGTCCCCCTGTCCCCCCCCCAATCCCCGCTGTTTATTATTTTATGGGTATTACACAACTCAGTGCCACCCCCTTCATGAAGCATTCTGTCATGGGAAGCATCTGATGGTTTGTGTCAGAGTGACATGGATCCCATGGGGGAGAAACTGCGAAACTTACCAGGGTCCCCCTCCCCTCACCTTCCCAGGATGCTGGGCTGAGGCTAGCATGCTGCCTACTTTACATCAGTCATTGTTCACTGGTTTAATTTCCTTACCCCCCCCCCCCCATGGTGACTGGATAGAGAAACCTTTATAAGGCTACATGCTTGCCCTTTACATTGGCTTTCTAGTAAAAGAGGGTGGCTCCAGCGAATGCTCGCTGGGTGGTCATCCAGGATCTCTGGCCTCTGACCCACCGTCTGTCTGGTAGCCTCAGCTGATCCCAGAAACTGAGAGCCCTGGGCTGACAGAACACTGAGAGGCCGGCTACCAAACCCTGCCCCTTTTCACGGGCAGCGCACCGGGGGAAACTCGGCTCAGGTAACCGGCTCTTATTGTGCTCTCTGTAGCAGCTTATTGCCGGCTTCCACTATGGTCCCTGACCAGACTAGCTGTTAAGGTCTTTTTTTCGCTAGATAAGTGTGGTTTGTTTGGAATCGTGAGGTGAAATTGCACAAATTTATTAGACTGTTGTATATGTGGTATATGCTTTATAAGAACACTACAGCGTGGTGACGTATCCAAGGTCTGATTTAGGGGCGCAGTCACAGTGTCGCGCAGCTGAGTGAAGGTGTGTCGTGCATGTCGCGTCGTAGTGGAGAAGACATCGGATGTCAGTGCATACGTTTCAGGGCTTGCGAGCTTCTCTTGGGTCTTCACTGTGGAGATTTTTGTCTGGAAGCCTGAGAAGGACAAACCGTGGCATTGCCTGCTGGAAATGAAGGCGATGTGTTGTTTCTTGTTTTTGGAGAATAAAATACTGAATGTCCAGCTATGAAGACTGCAAAGTGCTTGTGTGTGAGTGGTTTATGTATGTATTACACTGTGGGGACATTTCTCCACAATGTGATAAAAACCTGTTATGACATTGTGGGGACCACCTTTTCAGTCCCCACAAGTGGAAACTGAATTTTATGATAATCTGTGATTGCAGTCAAAAGACTAAAAATGCCAAAAGTCTTTAATTTTGTTTGGTTACTTATGGTTAGGCTTAGGGCTGGGTAGGGGTTAAAATTGCCATTGTTGGGATTAGGTTTTTCCCATAGAAACAAATGGAGAGTTCCCACAAAGATGTGAATACAAACGTGTGTGTGTGTGTGTGTGTGTGTGTGTGTGTGTGTGTG